AGCAGCTAACTCATAGGGTTGTTGTGACAATGAACTAAGTTAAAGCACAGAAGTGCTGGGGTGACCGGATAGCTCAGTTGGTTAGAACGTGGTGTTAATAACACCAAGGCTGCTGGTTCAATCCCCGCATGGGCCACTGTGAGCTGCGCCTTCCCTAAAAGAGTCAACTATGCTATTGTAGCATGAAAGCAATGTGTAACCAATGACTATGGCTGTTCCCCAATTAAAAAAAAAAAAAAGAAGAAAATTTTATATATATATAGCACAGAAGTGCTTAGAGGAGGGCCCGGCTCATAGGGACAGCCCTGTAACTGTTAACGGTGATGATGATGATGATAATGTAGAGTACAAGGCTTACAAGACATTCGATCAAGGAGGTTTCTGCTCCACTCCCTAGGACACTAACATTTGCTGAACACCTACTGTGTGTCAGGCACTGGGTCAGAAGTGGCAAGGAGATAGAGGAATGTAAGACAAGATCCCTAGGCTCAAAGAGCCCCTAGGCCATAAAGGGAGGCACTTTGCAAAGATAGAACAAGAGACAATATGGCAGGATAACTTTGGTACACAGAAGCTTCCATTTCTATGAGGCAAGAACATTCCCCAGCTTCATGCAATATGTGACAGGGGCTCAGAGAGGTTAGGTCACACATTATCACACTGAGGTGTGCCCAGCTGCACAGCCTTGGGCTGCCAAGGAATCCACACCAGCTCACAGCGGAAGGGAAGCGTTGCTGTGAGGGGCCTGGTGTCAGGCTTCCCGGTGGAGAGGCAAGGTGGCTGGAGCACAGCGTGGTGGAGAGAAAAGAAGGGTAAGGAAAAGGAGCCCAGACAGTAAGTGGAGGTCAGCCCAGGCCCTGAGCTCAATCTCTGTTCAACAGAACAAGGCAAGACTTAGAGACTGGTGGTGCTACCACTTTTGGTTACACTGGTTCCAAGGCCTGCCTTCAGGTGATCTGGGACACTCAATACCTGACAGTAGATATAAATGTCAGCTAGGGGTTCTGGGAACACCTGAGCCATGGGTAGCCCTGACAGAAAAGGCAGCCCTTTCAGAGGCCTGCTCAAGAACCAGTTCTCTCCTTTCTCCTTCCCAAGGGTTAAGAGAAGAGTTACGTCTCTTAAGTTCCTTGAAGTCAGGGAGAGGGTCTTTCCACGTTTTTATCTCCGAGACTTAACACTGAGACAGGCACCAAGTAAGTACTAATAGTGGTGCCCTGAATAGATGCCTCCAAATGTCTTTTCCTTTAAGCCTGAAATTCTGCCAAAAGGAGAATTGTTTGAGTTAGAATAAGATGGCTTCTAATTATAGAACACTTGTGTCAGACGCTGCCCTGGCTGCTTCACACATTATTTGAAGCGAGTCTTACATAGCTTAGCAAGAACTATGGTGATGCCTCCGCTTCCTTCAGGGCCAAAGGTTATCACTCACTCTTTTAACTAAAAGCAGAGCAGGTTACAGAAGCTATGAGAGAGAGAGGTATGATATCTAGAAATCAAGGGAGAGCCGGTCTAAGCAATAGCCAAGGGCTCTAGATTGGAAGCCTGGCTGCGTGGATTCCAAGCCTAGCTTAGATGCTGATTAATAGCATAACCAGAGCCAAGTCACTTAACCTATAAAATGGGAATAAAAACAGCAGCTATCTCTCTAGGGCTGTTATGAGATTAAATAAATAAGCTAATATGTGTGTAAACTATGCAGAACAGTGTCCAGCACACAGTGCTACGTAAGAGTTAACTGCTATTATCATTATGAAAAGATCTAGGTTCCCCTTGGGACAGGTTGACAGCAGTGAGAGAGAAGAACTTACCCAGATTCTCTGCCTTGTAGGTTATTTTGTTGGGCTGGCAGAAGGGCAGTGAGTAATACTCATAAGGTAGCTGGGTTCGAGAGCTGGTGAGCTTCACAGCCTAGTGGGAGAAGAGAGGCCGTTCATTATTCCTCAGTCCAGACACTAAGATGGCTGTTTCAGTAATTCTCCCTGGTACCCACATATCTTTGGTATACTCGGTAATATTATCTAAGAGGTAAATGAACTGCAGTAGATACAACTGTAGGATACCATATACTCCACTGCCCACAATTCTGAATTAGTTCACTTTTCATCAGTTTTAGACTACATTACAGATTTAGTTGAAAATCATTACCAAATTTAATATGTACTAAGAGTCTTCAACATGCTGATATCCTTTGACCCTATACTTTTGCTTCCGTGCATCTTTCCTGAGGAAATAACTCTAAATGAGGAAAACCCTTTAGGAACAGAAAGGTTCACTCCTTCTTCATAACCATAGTGGTCTTCTGCCTCCAGTTCCTTGAGCTCTCTCTTGCCTCAGGCTTTGACCTGCTGCTCCTCTCAGCCAGGCTCCGTGTATAGCTGGCTCCCTCTCACATTTAGGTCTCAGGTTAAGTGCCCTAACCTGTGAGTCCTTCCCTAATCTCTTACATAGAGGGATTCTCCCATCATTCTCTATTTCAACACAACACTTGTAGTCACCTTTGCAGCACATCTAATAAACTGTAATTATTTTATTTACCTGTTTTTTTTTTAATTCATCTTCCTCACTAGAATTTAAGATTTAAGCTTCATGAAGGCAAGGACCATGTGTATCTCGGTCACCTCTGTAACCCCAGTGCCTATTGAGCTAGACACATTTAATGAGCTGGTAGGTGCTCATTAAATGTTTGCTGAATGATAGAAGAGAGGAAAAATGAAAACAACAAACAAAAACAACAACAACTAAAAGCCCCTATAATGGGAAACTGGTCAATGAACCATGATAGACCCATTAAACTGAATATTATACAACCATTAAAAATGAGGTTTAAGAAGATAATGAAGAATGTTTAGGAAATGATACACGCACACAGCATGAAGCTCTGGAAACAGTTAAAATCATAAATAACCCCAAATCTACAAATAAAACAGAACCAATCAAAATGTTGCAAGAAATAAAATTTAACCTAAAAGGAACTAAAATTATCTTTGCTATTTAGGAACTATCGATCACTCCTTATATATCACCTAAGTGCAAATAATTTTTAGGATCCAGGTCTACAACCCTTACTTAAAACTCTTGTTTTGGAATTAAAAGTTTTTCAGATTTTAAAAGGGTGGTGTGATATAATATACATAGGTTTTATAACAGCCCCCACCAGCGGGGTCTGGAGCAGTGCCCACATTCGTGCAAGGAAATACACAAATATCTGTACTAAGTGGGATAAACAAAGTCAACAATCAGTCTCAGGTCAGGTCAGGCCTTGCCTACAAGGAGCTTGGAAAACTTTGGGTTTCAGAGCTTTTTAGATGTCAGTCTGAGGGCCTGAGGGTCTCTATCAGCATTTCACGAATTGCTTGAGACAAAACAGCCAAAAAGTGACTGTTATAACGGCCTGCCTGTTATTTTGTGCTTCTTAGCATTCTCTTTCTGGACTATCAAAAAAGAATCCATATTACAAGGAGACGAAGTCCCGCCTTTCTGTGCCCTCCCACTCTTCTCTCTTTCCACCTAAGGTGTCCGTTTTCCTTTGCCCAGCTTGGCAGGACTGGAAGCCAGAGCCACCCATCCTCCCTATGCCACAACCTTTGCTCTGGACAGGGCTCTCTGTAGAGGCACTGGGAGGAAGGGTACTGCAGTGCTTAAGAGATGGGGCTCTGAACTAACTGTCATGCTGACCATGTGATCTTGGTCAAGTTGGTTCACTTCCCTGGGCCTCAGTTTCCTTATCTGTAAGATGTACGGTAAATCTGTAAAACATACAGTATCTGCCCCAGAACATTCTTGGGGGGGGGGGGAGACGGACATCCTGAGCTAAGCCATGCATAATGCCTGGCATGTAAATAACCCTCAATAAATGTTACTATAATTAGTGTGCCTGAAAGTTACAAGTCTGACTTCTAAGGAAGATGCTCACAATAATGCAACACATGTAATGCTGCATTTACAGTATTCCTCCCTTACCTGAGGTTTTGTTTTCCGTGATTTCAGTTACCCACGGTCAACTGCAGTCCAAAAATATTAAACAGAAAATTCCAGAAAGAAACAATTCATAAGTTTTAAATTGCTTGCCATTCTGAGCAGTGTGATGAAATCTCAACACCATCTCACTCATCCTGACTGGGACGTGAATGACCGGTGTCTAGCGTATCCACACCTGCCTGTTAGTCAGATCAACTATAGAGGTATCGCAGTGTTTATGTTCAAGTCTCCCTTATTTTACTTAATAATGTCCCAAAGAGCAAAAGAGTAGCGATGCTAGCAATTTGGACATGCCAAAGAGGAGCCATAAAGTATATGTATATGTATATAGAAAAAAACATAGTATGAGGTATGTATAGGGTTCGGTACTATCCATGGTTTCAGGCATCCACTGGGGGTCTTGGAATGTATCCCCGCAGATAAGAATGTATCCTACAGTACTCCACACTGCGCAGTTCTAAATGCAGACACCTTCGAATAGTCATTCATCAGACATATTTATCCACCATGCCAGGCAATGTTCTAGGAGATGGTGATACAGCAGATGAGAAGGTCAGATTAAGATCTCTGCCCTTTTGGGACTTGATTCATGGCAATTTCATTTTTTCACTAGTGTACTGTTTAAAATTTTAATCTCTAAACAAGTTAACTCCCCTGGATAATCAGAAGTTGCTTGTAATTGATGCCCAAATGAGCACGTGTAACAATTTGAAATTTTGCTAACATTTAAAATTTGGTGGCAAACAAAGGGGCACATACATGAGAGGATGTCACGTGGATGGCCCTTTGTGATTTTCTTGTCTTCTGCTTCTCCTTTTCAAGGCTATGGTGCTCAGGACAAAATAAAAACTTCATTTTCATGCAATCTCACTACCTTGTTTTTGCACAGACCAGTAAAGATGTGGTTCACATCAACGTGGTAATGAAGCAAGAAATGTACATTTATTTTAGGAGCAGAATTTATTGTCATCACTTTATAAGTTTTGCTAGCCCTTTTTACAGAATCACTAAGGATCTGAGGACAGACTTAAAAATTTTAACTGTACATTACTTTGCCTATGGGGGACTGATGTGGTAGTCAAGAAGTTGGGGACTTCTGGAGGTGTAAGAATGCCAAATATCCTACGCTGTAAACACTGTACAGAAAAAAAAGAGTACGAAAAACAGACCAAAGTATTAAGAATGGTTGATTTGGGTGATGGTAGAGGGGAGTCTTTTTGGATGGGAGCCTTGTACAAGGTTATACTCCTTCTCTGGTGGTAATCTGTACCCAATGACTGGTCCATGGCGGGGATACGGAGAGCCAGTCCTCTTGCCTCAATTTGGAACAACTCTGAGGGGCCAGCCGTTCCAATTCCAGAGCTTCCCAAAGGCCTCAGGTGTACAACAGCGCAACGTCTCCCTTTGCCCAGTCCTGCTTCCTTACTCCCTTCAAGTGCTGACCTTGAGAGCCTGCCCAATAAATCTCCTACACCAAATCTTCACCTTAAGAGTTTGTTTCCTGGGAAACCAGATCCAGGAAGATAAACCACCAACCCCAGCCCTGTTTGGGGCTCTGAGAAGGCCACCAATGTTCAGTTTTAGAGACAGAGCAAGATGCTAGCCTGCCCATTGCCCCGGTCAACCATATTTTCAGTGACTCTCTTCCACCCTCCACCCGTGCCACAGTTGACTGACCACTGGTGGGCATCCGGTCTGAAAAGGTGAAGTGGCCGTTGGAAGCCTTCTCTCTGGATTATGATTCAGGGCAATGCTTCCCAAATGCTAATCGCTCACATACCAACTTGCCCTGTCTACTTACCACTATTTACTTGGATCTGGTTCCTTTTTAGTAAATACATTTATTTAAGAAGCAAACATTATATCAGTATTAAAAATAGTAAACCAACAATGACAGCCATGAAATCATGAATTGAAGTACTAGCTATATTTTCTAACACACAGTAAAAGATAATAGCTATTAAAATAAAATATATTTGTCAACCACTTAAAGTCATCTCAGATATCATCACTCAGATATGTAGTCCGCAGTTCGGGGATAATGAACTGGAAAATCCAGCTGGTGACTGATACTAAAATTTGAAAAAGAGGCCATAATAGACCACGTATGCACCGACGACATAGGTTATGCAGGGAAAGCTCGTAAGATAGGGGAACAGAGCAGATGAAAGAGGGAAGCAGAGCTATCATAGAGAAGGCAGGTTGAGAGAGACAGACACAGAAAAGAAATGGAGATGAGACAGGGAGAAAGAGAAATGTGTGAGAGTGAAACTGAGAGAGAAATACAGAGATACAGACATGCGCAAAGAGCCAGAGAGAAAGAGAAAGAGAGGGACACAGAGAAAGAGAACACACACAGGCAAAGATGCAGAGAGAGAGGGATGAAGAGGCAGAGTTCCTGGAACGGCGGGCTCCTGAAGGCACTCTACTTCCAGCCCGTGAGCACGCAGTGAACCCTCTGTTTCCCAGGGTAACTGGCCCTCGTCTTTGTTCTCTGCAGTCACAGGAGGGACATGACCTGCTCACCATGGTCCTCCAGCCAGACTGCCCAGCACGGAGGCTCCAACAGTCCAGGAAAGCACTGACCTTGATTTCTACAGGATCGTTCTGGTGGAAGTTGATTGGTGCGACCCCAGGGACATAGAAGGCTCTTGTTTCCAATGTGAGGGAGAGAAGGAGCAGTAACCACGGCAACCAATCCTGCTTGGAAGAAGAGAGGCTGAGGTTGGAATGAGGGAGGGAAGTGAGCATCCTTCTGGGGCAGACCAAGTCACAGCACCTTCACGTCCGCTTTAACTGACCCAGTCTCGTCTCTACTCTGAGAAGCCTGAGGCTCTTCCAAGTGCCACCTCCCAAATGCCTACAAAGCCAGCTTTGCACTTCCAGGAATGGGCAATAAAATAAGTAATTGACAGGGGGCAAAAGGGAAGACGGTGATACAGGAGCCACCTTTTCCCGCTTCTGGATCAATGTTCTTTTAAACATTTCACGTTGCAGCACTCCCTTGTAGAGCTAGCAGGAAATGAAGCGCCAGTGTCCCATGAATTCCCATTTCTCCATATAGCAACAGGCTCGCTTTGTCAGGAAGCTCCTATTACCTACAAGCCTTCAAAATTGTACTGATCTCATCACCTCCCTCTCTCCTCCTCACTCAGCTGCAGCTACACTGGCCTTCTTGTTGTCTCTCAACAGTAAGCCCTTCTCCACCCCTCAGGGCCATCACCTTCAATGTTCCCTCTGCCAGAGTGCCCTTCCCACAGATACTTGCATGGTTCATCTCATTGAGTGTTTCTGGCAAGTCTCTCTCAAATGTCACTTCCTCAAAGGGGCCATTATTGACTATCCTACCTAAAGTATCATCCTCAGGTCTCCCATTACCCATTTCTCCATCCCCTTACTCTACTTCATTTCTCTTCATGGGCTTATCTACGTGACATGGACAATATGCATTTGTTTGTTTGTATATAATCTGTCCCCCTCGGCTTGAATGTAATCCCTGTGGGAGCAGGGACTGTGTCCCCAGCGCCTGGCATGGAGTAAGCATTCAGTAAATAATCTGCATGCAGCACAGTCACCTGGGAATCAAAGGCAAGAAAGATCAATTGCTGACTTCAAGAAATTTACCCATCAAAGCATGGCTTTCCCTTCATTAATACTATGCTTCACCTCTCAAGGAACTCAAGGAGCTTCCGGATTCTGCCCAGTCTGAACAAGGAAGGAGCTTCTGTCACTCACACACCTGGATCACCAACTCAGTCCTGCTTCTGCATCTGCCTTCTCTCTCTAGCCCCTTTACTGCTGCAGCACTTCCGGCACTCATTTCCTTCCACCAGGACGTTGGCCACAGCCTCCTGATCACCTTGCCTCTGCAGCCCCTCCATCCTTCAAGTCACCACCTCTCCCCCCACCCCTCCCACTCAGATGATTCCTTCTGACACTCAGTATTTGAGGGGATCAGAATCACTCAGGGGGCTTGCCAAACGTGTAGACTCATCTGCATTTTCACCAGGAGCACGAGTTGAGAAAAAATGGCTTTAAAAGTTTAAGGTTCTGAGCTCTGTACACTTTAGCTATACAGCTCGTCAAAGTCTTAAAAGCAATATATTCACAGAATGTTTTTCCCCTGATTTGTTGTGAACATTTGTAAGTATCTGCCAGCTGATGTTCATTATGAATGAAATAACAGTTTGACCCCGATAAACACATTGAAAAATGGCTAAGAGAGCCATAGTGTATTTGGTAATTAGAAGGTCAGCAGAATTAGGGATGAGAGGAGGAAAATCTTTAAAGGAAATGACATGACTAGAAGATAGAAAATTGCCTCATGGGGCAGGATTCTGTATAGGAAGACACTATTTTTCCCTTTTCTGTCCCTTTTTTTTAAATTTTAAAATAAATTTAGATTTACAGAAGAGTTGCAAACATACCACGAGAGTTCCCATCTACTCTTCACCCAGTTTGCTCTAATGTTAATATTTGACATAACCATGGGTGAATAGGCTTTCAAAAAATAACTAGCTTTAAAAAGTTTTGAAAAAGTAAAACATATACAGTAAATAATTCAAACAGTACAAATGGGTATGCTGTGAAAAAGAAATCTTCCTCCCATTTTAGCTCCCCATAGACAACTGCTATCACCAGTTCCTTGAAAATCCCTCTAGAGACATTCCGTGCGTGCACAAAGGGAAGGGTTTAGTTCTATGGGCTTGCCATGAATACAACAGACAGATTTTTATTCTTTCTGTGACAGGAAGCCTCCATCGGTGGGCTGCTCACAACATCTGATTTCCTCTGGATCAGAGGAGTTTCTCCACTTGGCTGGTTATCAGAAGATCTGGGCCGTCCCTCCCTGTTTGGAACCCACTGTTAGGCCTCATCGGCCAGTCCTTAGAATGTGAGTGTTTTGTGTGAAAAGAATAAACTCTGTCCTCTCTTTTCCTCCAATTCCTCTTTGTACTTGAATTTCAGTTAACTAAAACGCAAGGAAGACAAATCTTGAGTTAATGGCATAAACTGTCATCCAAAAGTTGTTTAAAAATAAAAACAACCCAACTCTGAATTTTTGAAAAAAGATGCAGAAAGCAGACAAGCCTCACAAAGATACTATCAACAAACCTCAAGTCAATTTATCTTAGAGGAAGGATCAATAGATGAAAAATGGCAAATGATACTTCCAAATGCTAAAATCTTTGAATAATATAAAGCAACCAAAAGCAATTTGGAAGTTCAGCTTAGAATTAATGACTGTACCAAAATGACACTTGACTGCACCAAAATGACACTATCAGTTTTAGATATTAAAATGTCACTGTTTTGATATTCTCATATGGCTGGAGGGATTATAAATGGGAACACTTGTGTGTGCGGGGGGGGGGGACAAATCTGGTACTCTGTATCAAAGCCTACCCCAAAAGTGCACTTTTCATGTTGCAGTATCTGCCATCTCTCCAGCTGCACTAATCGCTTGTCTAGCTTTGTTGATGGGGTGCTCAATAAACCCTTATCAAACAAATTAATAAGCACCAACCAACCTCTGATCTATAAAAATACAAAACCATCCACTCACATAAAGGTTGAATACTATGGTTCTTAATCTTCACTGTATCCCTTTGAGAATATTTTTTTAATCCTCAGATTTAAGAGTTCTTGACATCTCCCACCTTGCCACCTGTCCAAGGACCTAATTTAAAAATCCCAAAAATATCTATTATGCCTACACCCTATCTGTATGTATAGAATATCTGTATGTTGATGTATATTAGAATAACCTGGGGAGCAAATGGATTAAATTTCTAATCAAAAGGCACACAGTGGCTAAATGGATTAAAAAAAATATCCAGAGATATGTTGTCTACAACAGATTCACTTTAGATTTAAAAACATATAGGTTGAAAGTGAAGGTATAGAAAGGTATTCATATAACAAAAAGAAAGTAGAAATGACTCATTTATATCAGACAAAATAGACTTTCAGTCAAAAATTGTGTCTAGAGACAAAGGTCATTATACATAATGACAAAAGGGTCAATTCAATAGGAATATATAACAGCCTTTCCAGCTCCGGACCCGGACGCAGAAGCGGTAACGATGTTGATGCCCGAGAAGAACCGGATTGCCATTTGTGACCTCCTTTTTAAGGAGGGAGTGATGGTGGCCAAGAAGGACGTTCACATTCCTAAACACCCTGAGCTGGCAGACAGGAATGTGCCTAACCTTCGCGTCATGAAAGCCATGCAGTCTCTCAAATCACGAGGCTATGTGAAGGAACAGTTTGCCTGGAGACATTTCTACTGGGACCTTACCAACGAGGGCATCCAGTATCTTCATGATTATCTCCACCCGCCTCCCAAGATCGTGCCTGCCCACTTTGCGCCGCAGCCAGCCTGAGATGGGCAGGTCAAGGCCCAAAGGTCTGGAAGGCGAGCGACCTGCAAGACTCACACGAGAGAGACACCTACAGATGGAGCCCTGTGCTTCCTTGTGCCGACAAGACAGCAGCGGCTGGGGCTGGGTTAGCAACCGAATTCCAGTTTAGAGGCAGATTTGGTCGCGGATGTGGTCAGTCACCTCAGTAAAGTTGGAGCGATTATTTGGTGTTGAATAACACCAAATTTTCTTGTGGCAAGAAAATCTCTTGTGCCCCTGTTTTTGCATAATGTAGCCTGAACAGGAATGATCTAAAGTCAGAATATAAAAGGAAGAAGAATGGATTGGTTGGGGGGGAGTCGTGGACGTGGTCAACCACCTCAGTCAAGTTAGAGCGATTTTAGGTACTGAATAAACTTGTGGAGAGAAAATAATCTCAGCAAACTGGGAGTGATTGTTTGGTGTTGAATAAACTTGAGAGTAAATAAAATTTTAAAAGAGGAAGATATAACAATTAAAGATATACACACCCAACATCAGAGCACCTAAATATATAAAACAAATATTGACGTATCTGAAAGGAGAAATTGAAAACAATACAATAATAGTAGGGAACTTCAATATCCCACTGATAATAATGGATAGAACATCCACACAGAAAATCAATAAATGGCTGACTGGAACAACACTACAAACTAAATGGACCTAACAGACATATACAGAACCTCCCACCCAACAGCTAAAAGAATACACATTCTTCTCAAGTGCACATGGAACATTCTCCAGGATATGTAGATCACGTTAGGTCACAAAACAAGTCTTAAATTTAAGAAGATTGAAATCATTCCATGTATCTTTCCTGACCACACTGAAATGAAACCAGAAACCAGTAACAGCAAAAATGGGAAAATCCACAAATATGTGAAAACTAAACAACACACTCTTGAACAACCATTGGGTCAAAGAGGAAATTAAATGAGAATTTTAAAAGTACCTCGGACAAAAGAAAATGAAAATACAATATACCAAAACTTACGAAATGCAATAAAAGCAGTACTACGAGTGACACAGTGATAAATGCCTACATTAAAAAGAAAAACAAAAAACCTAAAAACTACCTAATTTTATGCTTCAAGAAACTAGAAAATGAACAAACTAAGCCCAAAATTAGCAGAAGGAAGGATATAATAAAGATTAGAGCAGAAATAAATTTTAAAAAATAGAATTTAAAAAACAGAAAACTCGGGCCGGCTGAGTGGCACATTGGTTAAGAGTTGGCTTGGGATGCCAGCTCTGAGCAGCAGGGACCCAGTTCGGATCCCACATTAGGCCAGT